ACGCCTACGTAACTCAGATGAAGCGCGCAGTCATCGGAATTGCATTGCGATGAGGACCGCTAATGTTGAGAATTGAGAATTTATTTGGAGAAAGGAAGAAAATTTATGATGGAAATGTGAGCCTTCGTGCAAACTTTCTTGCTCTCTATACCAGTACTGAGTAAGTTTCTTACTTACAAGCCGCAAGTTTGAAATTATTTCCAGGTTTCATTCATTTAGAAATTAACATAACTTGACAATACTACTTGTATGTAGGCCAATAAGTTTTCGAAAGTAAATCAATAATATAAAACTGACAATATTGCACAATTTATAACAGCAATTTATAATAACAGTAATGAATTCACACACTCGTGAATTTTTGGAATATTTTTGCGCGAGTTTTGTGAGACTGGAGATACACTGTGCTTGAACTAAAAATTGAAAAGTGGGAATGTAGTCTTCAGTCTATCTACTAGACGTTTAAGCAAAAGTTGTGAATCTGAATTTTAAAATAGGAGAGCGAGAGAGAGAGAGAGAGAGAGAGAGAGAGAGAGAGAGAGAGAGAGAGACGTCTACTTTGCGAAACGTGAACAAGGATAAATTTCGGAGTAGATTGAAAGATAACTGTACGGCTTTTTATTTCTTCTATTCTTGCCTACCTTTTACTGGCGCTACATCTCGTTCCCGATGTCACGCCTCTTGCTTTATCCAGCAGGGTTGTGTCTCCTTATTCTATTCGACTTTCCATCGCCGCAGATATTTTACGAGGTGGCTTCGACTTCGTGGACCATAAAATCTCGAAATTTAGGAGAGGCTTTAGCTACAAGGACGCAACCTACTACACCAGACCAGGCCTCGCGTGTCTACATATGTCCTTCGCGAAACATCGCAAAAGGCAAAAACTATTCCCGTGCCTCTTGATTCGAAATCATGAAGGAGCGTGATTGCCCTGGTAGTATTGAATCGAAACGAAGCGCGTCTCGACCTCGATTCCACTGTGTAATTCGAAATGCACCAGAGAATCGCTGATGCGCGCATTCCGCGGCTCGTCAGCCATAACTCGATATTATCCAGAGCCATGATTTAATGGCTTTTAATTTAATTAAACTATCGAGTGAGATAAACGCGCTACAAGTATCGCGATTAAATCTGCTATTGCTATATCTGCCGGCGCGTTACTATGTTCGTTGAGCACAAAGAGGAAACACGTGGATTTACACTCGTTCTCACGAATCGACGATAAATTCTCATTTTTGTCGACGACATGATACAGATGGAAACCATAGACTAGAAACAGAGACAAGAAACAAGACGAAACGATAGTGCGATTCGAAATATATCACATCGGATCATTATACTTTCTTACTCTTGTAATTCTTTTTTCCTTGTAGTTTTTTTTCGTTATTTGATTCATCTATTTTGTGTTTATTATCCTGTTAATTTCAACAAATGATTTATTTTCGCAGATGAAAATGCGTTTAGACATTCAATTCAGTTGCAATTGCAGATGGAAATGCGTTTCAAATTATATAAGAAAATTAGGTGGTATCCTTATTAAATGATAGAGTATATCACATCTTTTTAAATTGAGTTTTCATCTTTTCTAAATTAAGTTAAAAGCAAAATGTTGGTCACGACCATATGAACGGAAGGAAAGGAAATTGAGGAAATGGAGCAGATTGTGAGGTGGAAAGGTGGTCAATGGCGTTGATTCATAATTAAATTAGCTTGAGCCCATTGTACAAGCATGGCTGGCTCTTGTAACCTGTTCGTTCCAAACTTGGCCAATTCTAGCGGCCTTTCGCGAGAACTCGAATTTCTTGTCGGCAAATAAAACAGACCCGTTGAAATTGCTCGCAGCCTTTCGCTAAATTTAATAAAGAAACTTGTCGCGAGCAAAGTTTTGTTACATACGCCGCAATCACGATACAGCTCTTTCATAATGTACGTATATATATATATATATATATATATATATGTAT